GAATGGATACCGCTCACGCAGTTATCTTCCGCAGTAAGTTTAAGAAAAATCATGTATATGTATATATGATTTAAAGGTTTCAAGCATGTATGTTTAAAAAGTATAGGTACATATGTATGTTAAGGAAACCAAGGTTGTAGCTAACAACCCTCGTTTTGAGTATTTAAGTTTTAGAACGTTGCAACAGAGCATGCAACAAATAAACAAATTTTAAACATGACGATTTAAAACGATTGATTTTAAAAGGGCTTTAAGATGTACTCGAATTTAAGATTTCTCACGAAATCCGTTTTAAAGTCAAAATTAAATGGCCCGATTGAATTGGCTAGTTTTAGAAAGGCTTTTAAAGAGTATTTGAAATAGGAGTTCAAATGCTGCTCTGTTTGAAAGATATTTTTAGAACGTTTTATCTTAACTGAAATTAAGAAAAGCTTTAAGAAATTTAGTGATTCACTTATTTGAAATTATTGTTACAAATTATGAAAGTATTCTTTCTTATATTAAAAAAAAAAAATGTTCCGCAAATTTTAAGAAACCCCAGTAAGTACAAGTTAAAGTTTAAGTTACAGTGGCGGCCTCATAGGAGGGGCGTCTCATGTACTATTTAGTGCACCATCATAATTACAATGAAATTTCTTCATCTCTAATGTAACAAAAGGTATACCATAATATGGTATGTTATTTTCATTTTTACTTTAATGCATAATGCTATTTGAAATGCTAAATTTACTTTTACTCATAATCATTAAACTTTAAAAGTTGTAAAAATAAACTTTTATTTTTAAAATAATTAGAAAATGTAAAAATTGCAATAGTTACACGGAAAAATAAACATTTCAACCAATAGCAATCAAATGTCAAATTTTTCATACATTATACTTGGTGGAAAATTTACCACAAAGTATACCGTATGCGAATTTTAGTACAATAAATAGCATTGCATTGGAGAGTGTTTTTTATACTCAAATGTTAAATTTGTAATTAACACGTCAATTATAGCATTGCATTGGAGATATTGGCTCTTTAAAAAAAAAAAAGCTAACGCGTCAATTAAGTTTTGAAATACGCAATACTACTTAGACCCCATTCATTTCACCAATTTGAGTTTAGAATTCGAGCTTTACTACTGTAAAAAGCTCTCCTAAACAGTAATATCTAACTTTTTTACTACAGTAAAAAGTTTTCATATAATTAAAGTCACATCTTAACACGAATTAAAAACTCGAATCAGTAAATTAAACAAGTCTTTAGTGACCCTGCTGAATTTATTTACATTTTAGCCTGCCGATTTGCTAGCATACTTAGCGTACCAGAGAGCCACAACCTTATAAGGTTCATTACCCTACCAGTGCTTACGTTTGATCAGTACTATTTATTGCACTATTAATCACATTAAAATACTTTCTTACAGAATATTGCTCGGGATAGATGTCAGAATTGATCAAATTCTAGTGCAATATGGAATACTGCACTATATGGGTCATAAAATAACATCTAACCAAAACGAAAATTTCAAAAAAAAAAAAAAAAAAAAAAAACATGAGTTCTCACTGCTTGTCGGCATATGAATAGAATTATTATTATTATTTTTTGATAAATAAAAAAAATCTTATTTTCTACAATGTGGTCTATTGACGACAATTTATTGAGGCTTTGAATTTTGGTTTTCAGTGTCCATATCATGGAAATTTCATAATGCATACTACTAGAATTTTCTTTTTGTCCCGGAAAAAAGAAGGGCTGAAAATAGACAAAAACACGTTATAATAATTCCAACCACGTCCAATAAAACAAGTCAAAATGTGGATTTTGCTGACAATAAGCACCTATTCACACCCATGGAGCTCAGACTTCAAATTTCAGGACTTGGAGCCACTCATTTTAATGGTCATCAGCTTGGCTAAACCCAATATACGTCATGACCGACCAATGTTACAAAAACATCTAGCCGATTCAATTTCCCTGTTCTCATTTAGGACTTTTGAGATTATGCCTCGTTCACTTCGCAGATTCGAATTTTCAATTCGAACTGAGATATGACATTTTTTAAGAGCTTTTCATTGTAGCAGAAAAAATTAGATGTGACATTTTCTGATAGTTTTTTATTGTAGAAACCTAAAACTGAAAACTCAAATCGGTGAAATGAACGAGGCCAATATTTTCAGTTGAAGATAGGGAAATTAATTTTAAAACATTTATTGAGAAATTAGCTAGCTCCAGCAAAAGAAAAAAAAAAACACTAGTTCCAATAGTGTTTTTATGGGAGAAAATTCAGTGACATGTAATTATATTTTTCGGATTTATATTATAGCTTTTTCTAATTCAGATTCATTCCACGTTTGTTAACCTTAATTAGCTCATGATTGTGTGACACACATCAAAAACAACTTCAATGTTCGTGGTATAAATCAGAAGAGTTTTTCTAATAGGATTAGAAAAAAAAAATAAATTATTGATAATTTTTTACTTTTTAACTGTCAAATCTACATTAAAAATTGTCTGTTTTACATATTTTTTAAGTCTGATGTAATTTTAATCATATCTAATAGTCAAAAACTGACACAGGTCTATTGGAAATTTCTCATGTCGTTGGGGCTAGGTTTACATGTTGATGTTACTATTTTATTCTGTTTTCAAAAGGAATATTGTTTGCTTTCTACGATAATTCTCACATAGTATAGCTATAGCCATACAGAAGTATTCGAGGACGTGTTAAGAAGTCACAATCTCACCAAAGCTCTAGATTTATCCACTAATTGCCGGTTATCCCACGTCAAACTAGTTATGACCTTACATAACCAAGTCATGTGTGAGCTACATTGGTGTGTATACATAAATATAGATAAATGCTAGCATTATTTTTTCGGTTATTTTTTTATCACTTTTCTGTATTAACTGTTTGACATATAAACTTGATTATCTTATTTTTATTTAAATAATAATTTATCATATTAATAGAGTCACGTATCAAATAAGTAAATATTAAAAGTGATAAAAAAAAGTTATGCTAACCTTTCTCATAAATATATATAAAATGTATAGAAAATATGTTTATATGTATATATACGCGGAATATTCCAAGCGCATGCTGAAAGATTAAAATGCAAACGTGTCGTCAACTTTTTGCATATTGCACTTACAAAACTTTTAAATTCAACGTGGCAGGAAATGCAGCTGTAGCTAGGATTTAAGGAAGAAAAATACTTTCTTTTTAATTTTCCTTTGTTTTCTTTTCCTTTGTTGCTTTTTTCTTTTTCTTTTTTTGCTTGAAAAAGAAGAAAACACTTGGTAGTGGACGGAGTATGGGACGGTGCATTTATTGCGGCTAGCAGGGGTCAGAATGTTTATAAACTAATCTGACAAGGCAACGAAAATGTATTAAAACTCTCTTGATATATTAAAGTAAAATATACTCCACATTAGCCACTAAGCAACCAAACACTAATATTAAGCATATGTTGTACTTTGTTACTAAAATCACTATCGAGTATATAGAGCCCGTTTAGTTCGTTGATTTGAGTTTTTAATTCGAATTAATATGTGACTTTATATGAGAACTTTTTGACTGTAACAAAAAAGTTAGATGTGACTGTTTATGAGAGTTTTTTACTGTAGTAAAACTCAAATTCTAAACTCGAACCGATAAAATAAACAGGGTCATAGTATATACAAAACTTATTAAGCATAAAATGATTTTCTTGCACCTATATTCCAATTTCACGTATAATATATCTAGGACTAGTTAAAATATCTAAACTTGAATCATTTTTATATGGCCAGTTACTACACTTTCGGATGCTAATGTTTTTTTTTTTCCTTAAAAAATTTTCATTTTATTAAAACAAAGTATTACTTACTCAAATTAGTCGTAAGTGAGCACCACTTATAATGAAATTCAACCCCGAACATTGACTGGATCTACGAGTAATGATAGATGAAGCATAAGCGCGAAACACAAGTGCCAAGAATCAACAAAAAAAAGACCCATTCAGCACATAGAGATTAAGCGCGACTGGGCTCGTTAGACAGAATCACTACAGTCGATAAATTAAACTAATTGACGGAGGCTAATCTCAAATAATTGAGACATAAGTGATACGATATAAAATCACATATAGTTGGATATCATCACTCATGCTATCGAAAGGCGAAAAAACCACCTCCATCATTACAGAACTAACATAATAAAAAAACAATATAAACCAACACGAACAATGTGAAAATATCAATGCTTTTATTACAAAACAATATATATAACGGAAAATAAATAGCCACAGCCAATTGGGAGCCATGACCGACAAATAGAGTTTGGCGACGCTAATGTTTTTCTAGTTAATATTATGTTTATAGTCAATGAATTATCTCCAACAGTTCCAAATAAATAGGAAAAAAAAATTATTTTTCTCTTACAGTTTACGCAACTGCTGCCCCTTGGCCGCTCATGTATGTGGTGAGTTCACATTGGCCAATAATCTCACAAAATCAAAAGTATAATATCATCAAATAGAAGTAATATTTGCATATTCTAGTGAATTAATTTAGACCATAATCTATCACAAACCGCAGCAGGCCATTTGTCTTTCATTATTATTATTATTAATTATTAATTATTATTATTTTCAAGAAATATTATTCTTGCCTTATCTAGTGGGATGAGTATTTTCCAGCTTAACCAGGCATATTCAGCTTTAGAGCCCACACGGTGTTTATTGAACAAATATAAATATTGCGTCTTTTTCACACCCAAAAAGAAAAAAAAAAATTCTTCACCAACTTTTGCTTCTATATAAATCAGCCAAATTTGCCAACCCTTCACCTCTCCCCGAAGCTAGATTTGAGAGAGAGAGAGTCTTACATAATTAAAGCTCTTGAAAATAATGGCTTATTATAACAATAACATTAATGTTATGCCAAAGGGTTTCTTCTTAATCCTAATTATCTTTCTTCTTGATTATGAGGCCATAATCAGTTTCTCAGAAGCTCAACAAGTTCCAGCCATTTATGTATTTGGAGACTCCCTGGTTGATGTGGGCAACAACAATTACCTCAAGCTGTCTCTTGCAAAGGCAAACTATCCTCCTAACGGAGTCGATTTTCCCGGCCGGAAAGCTACCGGCAGGTTCTGTAACGGCAAGAATGCAGCAGACTTTCTTGGTAAGTTGCTATTATATCACACACACACAAATATAGGTATATATTAGGTCATGACTGTCATCTCTCATTTGTATTATTTGACATGTTAGATTCTACTAACTAACGTAGTATATTATTATTTAAATAAAATAATGGGATAGTAAAATTAACGAATCAAATAATAAATGTATAAAGTGACAAAAAGAGTAAATTTCTCCATAGTAAATGTTAAGTCGGTTCTACTGGTTAACGGACTCATGCTGTTATTTTTCGTGTTCCTTATGTTGTTTGATCTACCATCGAGTTTCTTTTGAACTATTTTGAATGGTTAAGATAAGATACTAGTGACGAAAAGTTTGAAATTGTCATACTAAAAAATCACTAATTATATGTTTAATCCTGCTTAGTTTTCCCCCTCTCTTTCCGGATTTTATCCATTTCATCTCGCCAAATTATTGTTATAATATAAGATTAAGGCAGCACCTTGAGCAATATTACCAGCTAGCTAGGAATTAAAATCCTATTATAACCAGCCAAAACAAGAAAAAACAAAATAACAAAATAACAACCACAAATTTTCAATCTAAATTAACAAGTCATGATGATGCATGCATATTTGTATGTATAGTATAGCTGGCTTTTCTTGTTTGCTTCTTGCCTATATTGTAGGATATTATATATATTCATCAAAAACAAAAAAAATATTGGACAAGTCAATTTTCAGTGGCAAATCATGTGCAGTGAGATGCGATCTTCTTTTTGGGTGAATGGCAATACATCTGAAAAGCTTTTCTAGCCAAAAAAAAAGAATATGTCTCAAAAGCCTTAAAAAGCATTGCCCAGTTTGGTTGTTAAATCAAAGATTCTGCGAACTAATTCAGTGGAGGTTGTGGAAAGCACTTCTATTTTTTTTATTTTATTTTTAAATTAGGGACATAAGCATATAAATAAACTCATAAGTTAAGGACCCGTTCATTTTACCGATTCGAGTTTAGAATTTGAGTTTTGTTATAGTAAAAAGCTCTCAGAAATAGTCACATTTAATTTTTTTGTTAGAGTAAAAAGCTCTCACATAAAATCACATCTCAACTCGAATTAAAAACTCGAATCAGAGAACTAAACGAGCCCTAACTCTCTCCACTTAGTGTCTTTTGATGTGTGCACTATCATTTGATACACATATAATTTATAATTTTAATTTTGCTATAGTATTTATTATCACAAAAAATTTAAATTTAAAAAGTTTCTGTCCATGAATTCTCTCATAAAATTTGAATGAAAAATCAAAATTTTTGGTATGAACTCATGAAACAAAGGGGGCCTGAATTGTTGATAATACATGCATGCTGCACACATATTGCTTCTGGAAAGCACTATATATATATATATATATATAAAGAGGCATCTCCTCACTCCACGTGTCTATTGGTCATTTGCTTTTCATGTTTTCCTTTTTTTTTTTTTGAAATGGTCACTTTTCTTTATTTCATTCTTTAAATGCATGTATATGGGGACATATTATTTTGCATGTCTTTGTCAAAATATTAAAATTTATGAATGAAAAATTGGGTTAATTATTGAACAGCTGAGAAAGTGGGCTTAGCAACTTCGCCACCATATCTATCTCGTACCTCCAATTCCAACAAGGACACTTCAACCGGAATCAGCTTCGCCTCAGGAGGAGCAGGAATTTTTAATGGTACAGACGAATTTTATGTAAGTTAAACAAATTCTTTTTTTTTTTTTTTTTAGTATATAAAAAGTGAAAGTAAAATATTCAAATGGGCTTTAATAACTTAGCCCATAGGGCCTTCAAACGCTTCGGCCCACTACAAAGTTTTGCAAAAAGTGTTAAAAATAAAAGAATGCGGTGAGCGTGGATCGAACACGCGACCTTCAGATCTTCAGTCTGACGCTCTCCCAACTGAGCTATCCCCGCAGATGTGAAATGATTGTCTATTAATTAAATGTATTATTTTGTTGGCAGCGTCAATCAATACCCCTAACAAAACAGGTCGAGCACTACTCGAAAGTGCATGAGCAGCTGGTGCAGGAACTAGGAATCGGAGGGACAGAAGTGCATCTCTCAAAATCTCTGTTCGCCATCGTCATCGGAAGCAACGATCTCTTCGGCTACTTCGGTTCCTCCGAGCTTCGCAAGAAAGTCACCCCGGAACAGTACGTCGACAAAATGGTTGTTACACTACAAGAACAACTAAAGGTACGTACGTACGAAAAGCACGTAAAGACTCAAATGCATGCTTTTTACACTAGAGAATCTAAGCGTGCGTTTCGAAGAGAGATTCGTACCATGATTCGAATCATAGGTAGTGATTTATTTTATTATTTTTTTTCACACATAAATTAAAAATAATTATAAATTATTAATCTAAATTTATCAACCAAACACGTTTAGATGAAACTAAATGAGACAATCATTTTTCTTTTTTGCCCCTCTTTCTTTTTAACAGAGATTACACAGTTACGGGGCTCGTAAACTTGTGGCAGTCGGAGTAGGGCCAATTGGGTGCTGCCCAGCAGAGAGGAAGAAAGACATCAGAGGAGGATGCTTGGAAGAAGTAAATCAATGGGTTATCAAGTATAACGACGGTCTAAAGTCAACGCTGACTCGGCTGAAATCGGAGCTGAAGAACTTGAACTACGCCTATTTTGAGACTTATGATGTCTTGCTAAACCTTATCCAGAAACCAGAATCCTACGGTACTATAGCGCCTTTTTTAACTTCCTTTCTCTAAATTGCCTCCTTCTGTACGTAATATTAGATATTCACCACGCAAAATATGGATTTTTTAAAAAAAACTCTTTTCTTCTTCTTTTTCATTTATTTTCGTATGTGATCATTTTTCTGTCATTAATTTTAGGATATTGTCGTGTTCAACTGTTCAACCATCCTCGGTTTTGTTGCTTAAAGAAAAAAAAAATATATATATATCTATATATATATATATATTTTTTTTTTTTCTTTAAGCAACAAAAGTCCATATTATTTTGTCGCTTTTTTAAAATATTGTCGTTTATGGGATATTATCCCTTTCGTATTTTTTTTTTCCTAAATGTCCTTTTCCTAACTTGTTATCGTTGCATTAAAATCATTGTTTTAAAAATCGTGACTATTATTATGCAGTTTAAAAAACAAAATTTCGTTGTTTTCGTTTCGTGGTGTCATTGCTTACGTTGTTATTGTCGTTGGGTATGTTGTTCTCAGAAGTTTCGTCGTTTCTAGTGGATCTCACTGTTTTTTTTTTTGCCAATGCACTACCCTTTCCAAATACTCTCACTCGTTGATCACTTGAAGATGAGAAAAAATTACTATTAAGTTGTTTGGTTAGAGGATTCGTATCCTGATTCGAATCATAATTCGTGGTTCGTTACAGTGTTTTCTCTCACAAAAAATACACGTAAATCAAAAATAGTTCTAATCTCATAATTCTAATCTATGAACCAAACGTCTTCTATGATTTGTTTTCCTTTTGCTGATGAATACAAAAGTGACTGAAAATGCGAAAATTCCCCTTTATTTCAGGATTCGTGGAGGTTAAAGCTGCTTGTTGTGGTCTTGGGAAGCTAAAGGCCGATGCTCCTTGCCTGCCACTCTCAGCATATTGCTCCAACAGAGCGGATCACATCTTCTGGGATAAATATCATCCTTCGGAGGCAACTGATAGCATTTTGGTTAATTATCTCTTCGACGGTCCCTCGGAATACACATTTCCGTTGAATGTGAAGCAGCTAATTGCTCTTTAAACTCAGAAGCACAAAAAAAATAAATAAATGATGCCTCAATGTAATACCATCCGGGACTCGAGAGACTAGGATTTTTTTTTTTAAAAATCATCAGAAAATTGGGATTTATGGAAGCCCACTTTTTGTAGCCTATAATAAATAGTTGAACAAAAGAAGAGTTCTGGCAAAAATTCAAATGCAATGAATATGTTCTTTGTGCCCATGTATTTCATAGAACCAAATGATAAACAAAGAGAATTGGATCTCTATTAAGATTTTGGACAAGCAATGAAGCACTCAGAGCTCAAATTGTTCGACTTTGATATAAAGTCACGTAGGACAAATAGTAATGTCGTTTACGGCGGCAGAAAAAAGCCTTACACTGTCCGCGTGCTCCGTCTCCGTTGCAACCATGATGGTTTTCACCGTTTTAAGTGTTATGTCATATCAGGAACAGGAAGCCGTTTTGGAAACTAAAGCATGAGTTCCTAGCCAAAGAGAACAAAAAATTCAAAAGAAAAACATTTGTGTGAAAACTAATACATGCATTCAGAGGTTACCTTTGAAGACTTTAGGATTCAGATGAAATCATGAAAATATATCCCGTAAAAAGAGTCTTAAGTCTCCCTTGAAGACATCAAATGCCAACATCTTGTCTACCGCTTTCTGCATTCGAAAGGGGAGGGAATCAGTGTCATTGCAAGAAGAATAGAAGCATATGAAAACAGTTGTCATATTTAAGGCTTGGTTTTTGAATCAACACCATGTATAGTTGATCTTGAGCCGATAGATGTTCATTACACAATCTCTCAACGTGCTTATTTTGTCCAGCAGCTTCCAGCATAGATGCTGCTCTCTTAATAACTTCCTCTGGAACACCTACAAAAAAATGAAATTAGTCCTAAGAGAAACTGAAAGAAGCCTAAACTAGATCCGCTAATCCGAATTAAAATCATGGTGACAAGGTTATGGCGCCACGAGGACTCTCCAAATAGTATAACTATTTTCAGAACAAAAAATAAAATAAAATAACGCATTCATTTAGTTCAATCACAATTAGCATTTTACCAATGGTGGAAAAATGAAGCCATAAAGAATCAAAAGAAATCTTTTCCCTTTTAATTTTTGTTTGGGAATCATATGAACTTTATGATCCAATGATGTTCTATTATACCAGCAAGCAGCGCACAGTGCAGTCCTGCAGGATGTGGAAAAAAAAAAGAAAAAAAAACCGTATGATTTCCCATAAAGATTTCCAGTCAGCAGTAAGTAGGCATCTCCGATATAGACAAACAAGTCTAAACTCGAAGTTTAAACTCACCGTAGCTGAGAAGCGCATAACCCGGAACTAGCCTGCAACAATTAGAAAACATATACCATGAAAAACTCACAAACATTTTCAAATCCAATGAATTCCAACATTTTTTTTTTTTTGCTGGAACCAATGAGATCCAACATTCGCACAACAAGAATTATTCAACCTTAAATGTTGACAATATGGCTCATAAAGTGACGTCTGGGAGGCTAACTCACGATTGAATCGGTTTGGCATAAAAAAGCTATTTGGTAACCCTAAGAATGAAGCAACTGGTACCCAATCCCAGTAAGAATCAATACTTAAGAGCTAACCACACTATAGAATGCTGCATGCACGGTCAGAAAATGGGACATGAAAGCGGTTTTCCTAATCTCCAAAAGTTAAGACAGTCCATCAATAGTGATGCAAAAGCAAAAGGAAAGGAAGCATACCGGTATAAAAATACAATATCTTCGGCATCTGCAGAGTTGTTGTCGGGCCTGAGCACGCTCATGGTGAAATATTTGATTTTTTCAGACTGAAAAATGATTAAAACAATAATTATCCTTCTCATAATATGCAATTGATGAGAGTTAATAACTTATGTTGTAAGTTCACAAGGGTTACTTTTGGCAGATAATTCTCGTCAAATAACTCAGTCAAATGAGTGCACACCAGAACCTGCAATTAACCAATATAGCAAATTTCATCAAGTCACACCTTCTCTTCATCAAAGTTCATTAGGTACACACTACCGAAGAAAATCAAAGACTAGGTGCTCAATAGTCAATTTAAGAGCTGTCCAAGTGTTCTAACACTATAGATTGTTCTCTAATAAGAATTAAGTGCCTATTCATGTATTTTGCATTTTTTCTGCAGTTCGAAGGAAAGCCCTCCTGAATTTGAATGTTAGGTTCTCGGGTAAACTTGAATTTACGACAGTGTTCTATGAAAGTGTATTACTTGGTAAGTTACTTCAATGTCAATCACTTGCTCACATTGATACCAGACTAATCAAACTATAGGACAGAATTAAGATGGATGCTATTTAGAGGATCAATTTATTCTGTAAGAGGGAAAAAAAAATATATCAGCAGAATATAAGAAAAGAAATTGTATGAACTGATGTTCTCGTGATAAAAGTCTGAACCAAACTAATAATCTATCGCCCTGGTGGGGGTAATTGAGCCTCAAACCTTTGAGGGTTCATCACGTGAGACAAAGTGACTTATGGTTCCACCAAGCAAACCGATGCCATCTGAAACAACAGGGAGAAGTTTTATGCAAATACATTCTAGTGCTAAACTTGTGACAGATCATAGAAAACTTATGATGTTGGAAAGACCAACCTTCTGTAAGAGTGCCCTTTCCAAATTCATCCAATAAACACAGAGATCGTGAGGTTGCCAGCCTGTTAAAATGTATCGTATCATTTAGCATGGTCTTTAAGAGAATATGTTTTCATGATCAAATCATTTAGAAAAATACTTCAAGAACTTTCAAATAGATTAAAAAGTATCACATCAGTTAGCATGGTTCTTTAAGAGAATATGTTTTAGTTATCAGTAGAACAATTCTTCAAGAACTTTTATCCATAGTCATTAAGAAGGTCTGAATTCTGAGATTTATTTAAAGGTGCAGAACCAATAACAGGTATGTTGTTGAAAACCACATCTCATGGATTATTAATGAGCATATACTTCAAATAGTCTCTTCTGAGTATACCTTAGCATCATTCCTACTTGATGCAAATCAATCATAAAGGTTGATTGTTCTGCAGTCATAAGTTTGCTGCCCATGGCACAGAATATTCTGCCATAATATTTAGCAACAACTACTGTTAGTCTGATGATTTCCCTATAAAAAGATGCTACTCCAAGATTAGGTTGCCTGTATGCGTTTGATAAATGATATGCTACTGAAAGATATATGTCTGTAGAATGAAGTGTCAAACCTATCAGTCAAACCCACAGTAGCCGCATCTGCTGGCACGTAACTTCCAATGTGGGAAAGGAAAACAATTAAAGCCACCTAGAAATAATAACTGTTTAGTATGCCTAGCCTTTTTGCTAGTGTCACTGCCACTTTCTGTTACTAAGAACGGAAAAAATTATTATTATCTTACCTGCTTTATGTAGATGCTTTTCCCTGAATAATTAGGGCCACTGATGATGTTTATTCTTCCTGAAACCACAGAAACATTAAATTACAACAAGATTCAATATGAAAACTGTATAGTTTCATTTACCACTGACCATCATCTCCAATCTTTGTGTCATTGGGAATAAACGTGTCGACTGTCATCTCCTGCAAAACATGTCTGAAATGGAACGAACTCTCAGTACCCTCTAGGTAAGAGGTGGCATTATCCGGATTTTGTAATGAGATTGATGCAAACAACCAGAAATTTCTGACCTTCCATTTTGTATATCGAGCAAGTTCTCAACTGTCAAGGTAGGCCTTACATAATTGTTCTGACGAGCAACCAGCGCCAACGATAAAAAGCTAAGCTCCACAAGAAGATTTAGAAGTCAATAACAAAAGTGTACTTTAAACAGGGATGCATAACAAAGAAAGAAAGGGTGAAAGGTTCCAGAAGAGAAGGATAGCGGTTAAACTAATTCTCACCAGTCAAGTTCAGAAGTAAAATTCACAGCCTTGAGCAAATGTGTTGAGAATAGTAGTATATGCGACACCAAGTCTCTAATAATTGCCCTCTCCATATCTTTATCAATTAAATCGCAAATAAACATACATAAAGAGGTGAATGAACATGATTCACAGAGCTACAATGATGGACTCTTGGTATTTTTTATGTCTAAAACACCAAAATTACAGAGTAATTTATAGTTTCAACCAGGGAATGAAGATTTAGCTTCCAATAGGTTGACAAATGAAACAGTCTTAATCATATTATCTGCGACACTAGACATTGGCCTGTGAATGTCTTCTTCAGATATTCTATGCAATGAGGGGGAGGAAAGAAAAAAGGAGTGTTAGCACTGCAATACCGAGTATTTTGTGATAAATGTCTCCAAGGAGATTGTCCAACTCTTGTGTCTTTGGTGTACGATAGAAGAATCTTTTTGTTTCCCCATCCATATCTGAGAACTACTTTTCAAAGCTTATAATCAGTTACACATGCTAATTTAAAACATAAAATAAACTATCTAAATTATGAAAGCATCAACTCACAGCGAAAACAAAATCGTGAATTTTCTCTAGGGTAATTTCATCAATTTCTTCCTCCAAAATGCACATCAAGTATCCTAGAGAAGAATATAACAGAATTAGGAACAAAACAATAAAAAAACCAACTTAAATCTGGAAAGTACGAAATTCGGTGGAATTAAGGAAGAGTGTTCTAACATGAAAATTAAGCAGCTTAAGGGTTGAGGTCATCTCTAGGGTCCAGTTCAGTGCAACACAAAACTTAGGGCACGCTCTTTTTGCTAGTTCAAGTTGAGAATTTTGAGTTTAAAAGTGAAATTTTGTGAGAGAAAACACTACATCAAAAAAGGTGAATTTGAATTTTTGTGAGAGAAAACATAATAACAAAAAGTTGAGTTGTGATTCGAATTGTGAAAAGAACGGGGCCTTAGAGTATGCAGCCAAAAAGGCTAGCCTCCCGCTCTTATAAATCCAGGTCAATTCCAGCTAGACGGATCTGCTTTGGTATACCAAACGACATAGGCTTCAGGTATCAACTCCAGAAAACTAGCACCAGAGAGACCTAAGGTGAATATGATGCGCACACTCAAAAAGGGAAGGGCTGGGATAGGACATGTTTGCAGGAACCATGACGAACAAGTGTGTGCATATTGCAAGCAATGTGGAGAGCAGCAAGCAGTACTTTGGAAGCAGAAATGAAATCAATCAATCTGGCTTTTGAATGTGCGACGGCAAGAGGTTGGATGTCTTTTGAGGTGGAGTGTGATGCGAAGATGACTGTTGAAGCTTAGGTCTTGGCAACCCCACCCCTGCTTGGACTGTTTTTTCTTGTTCTTTCAAGTTCTGGACTGATCAGATGAGAAGACGTGTTCTCTTGGATCCCAAAAGAAGGTAATAGAACACAAGAAATGAGTAACTGGGTTTTTGATGAGACTTGTAGTTGGTTCGTTAGCAGAGCTACGAGTGGTTAGAAGTCTGTTATTAGTTACAAAGTTTGTTACTATGAGTATAAATAAGAGGATAGCAATTGATGAGAGGGTGTGGATTGTTTTGCTTTTGGGGCTTGGGAAACAAAGATTAGAGAGAGTGGTCTCTTGAATACCACTGAGTTAGGGATTGTTTTGTGATTCATCAATTCTCTTCACTAAAAGATTAGCTTGTCAGAAGCAAAAAATAATAATAATAACAAACAAACAAACACTAGAAAACTGGGGAGGGACTCACTCTCTATTATAACCCAAGTCAAACCTAACCTAATACATATTCATTCCTAGGTCTATTTGACCATGTTCCCCCTTGACCCAGTGCATCCAACAGTACGCATCTAGCATCCACATTCATTTCAAATTCTCACGCAATCTTTCAATTATTCTCTACTGTTTTCTTGGCATAACAAGTACTTTCGAATTATAGGATAAAAAATGGAAGGAAAAGACCAACCTATCTGGTTTATATAAACAATACGAGGGGTAAGTTTGCCTTCACACAACTCAGGGCATCTTGCAAGTTCCAGTGACGTTACCTGCAAGGCACTGTTGTAATCAAGACGAACTTATAGATTTAATTGCAATTTGTATTTTCATGTTCAAATCAGTTCTATAATACCTTTTGCAGAAATTCTGGTAATTCCTCGTATATTTGCCTCAGCTCATCCAACTATAATGTGAAAACAAATAGCACAAATTACAGAAACTAAGCACAACACCTCAAATTACTGAAAATTATCAGCAGTAAAGTAAGTGAAAATCCTATTTCACTAAGAACTTTAAAAAAAAATAAACTTAGTAACTAAATATATGAGTGAACATTTTCTTCATTACAGGATGTTCATTAATATCTTGATTTCGATGGAAATGGTACCCTGAAACCCTCAAGCCAAGAAATGACAATGATAAAAAATTCATTGCATGTCTAACCTCATCACAGAAACCATCTTTTACTATCGTCTCATATCCCTTCTCTTTGCTTCTATTAATATCAAGTACACCGATTACCTACATGTATTATCAAAATTATGATTCTAAACTATAGAAGAGGGAAAAAAAAATTGAGAAGCTGACAAAGAATCTAATAAAAACTGATTAAACAGACATAATATATAAGCAAACAAAGATCAATTTTAACGCATATTCATAATTATGAAGAGATCAGAATCAGTTAAGACAACAGATGAGCGTTTGGACAAAGAAAACAACATAGATGAGCAAAGCCCTTCCTGACAAGTGTGAACTTCCCATGTAATATAGTTATCGAGATACTAAGAAAGTAGGATAGACTAACTAATTCATAGACATAAGCAAGCTCTGTTGTAATGCTTGAATTAGCCTGCAATGAAATAAAAAAATATTTAGATAAACAACACTGAACAAAACCCCAGTTAGTATATATGAATCAAAATAAAAACTAGAACGTAACAGTAATAAACAGAAAAAAGATTTCCTACCTTTTCAACAATATCCAAATTCAAGTATCTCGCATGCTCTCGAAGACTCTCAGAAATTCCTACCTCAAATATTTTGTTCACGTGCAAGAGCGAACAAACACTCTGTAAAACATCATACAATACTGAGTCAAAACATGAGATTCTAGTATGAGGTAAAGATAAGATATTAGCGCACAGGGATCTGGAGCAAATTGAATTTCTACATATCGAAATTCCTACCTTTAAGAATGCTGTCCAATCTCCAATAGCACATATGGAGCTAGGAGAGTTGAATTTCTATAATCAAAAGGGGAAAACGAGAGGCTGTATTAATTATTGTTAATGCCCACATCATAATAGGCCATAATAATCTCTTCACAAGATAAAAGCAAAGGTGGCATTAGTCATAAAAAAACATGGAAATAAAACAAGCCTGCATCCAAGCACTGCACCATTCGAGCAAATAAAGAGAGAGTATTATTAATCGAAAAGGTTCAGCTGATTTAATGAAGCTTATGAGAGAATCTTACAGACGTCTACAAGATGACACAATTCATGTGTGAACAAAAGTGACATGATCTCAAACTCAAACCTCTTTGCACCAACAGAATAAGCTATTGATCTTCATTTTGTAAGGAAGGGAATACAGCAGATAGAAAAGAAACCATACATAAAGAAAATGGCGGTACCTTGAGTATGTGGGGAATGTCCTTTACAGACTTTAGTGTTTCACGTAAAGAAAGTGTCAGTTCTTCAGAAGCAAGAAAGAATGATATCTTCGATGCCATTAAGAAAGAACACTATAATCGTAAGTAAAGATGTAATTCAAGTCAAATCTTCATTATCACACGCTATATTGAATATATCTATCACGAGTCCTGTTTATAGCATACTTTATTCGCACTGCACTACATAACAGAGGCGAAGTAAACGTCAACCAAGTTAGATCTGATGATGCTTTAAGACTACAGTTATCTTATTAGTTCTTTTGGTAACTTATCCTTAGCCAGTACAAATCTGGTTAACAATATAAGGATACAGCACTGAGACGGCTGTTCAAATTGTCAAAGTCTAGTATTGGCCTCAGAAACCAGTTTCTAACACGAGGAGGAAAAAAAATATAAATAAATAAATAAATAAGGGAAGAACGTTGTTCCTTCAAACCCCATTTTAGCATTGAAAACAGAAACTTTTCATTCTCTATCAAAAAGTTTACCTCAAGAGACGTCTCCCCGCTGGTGTTATGCACTACATTTAAAGAAAATAATTTAGCTCAAAATACAAGGATCTTTGGGAGCTAGAAAATGAACTGAAGCTACGAACCTTATTCATCATACCAAAGACAGAGAACCTGAGATAAAAAACTCTTCAGGACACAAAATTTTTGCAAAAAATTGTGAAGTTACTAGTTAGTCATTACCCTTCTTTTGCTCGGCCAATGCCCATATGGCTTGGGTGCTTATCTGTTTGGAATATCTGTAATGCCTCGTGAGCTGCCGAATCAAGTTTGAGAAAATTGTTTCTAGTTTTTGTGGTAAAGATAACAGTGTCTTCCATCTTTTCTTGAATATCAACTTTTGAAATGAGAAGGTTGGAAGCTAAACCACAAAAAAATAAGCATTTAAGCATTTGTAGAAAGATACAACGAAACTTCTACAACAGAATCAATTGTAATTGATGCATTCCCACATTCCTTCTGTTCAAGTGTATCCACAATCCTTTCGTTCTCTAATATAGCAAGTAGACCGCCGCTTGCACGAACTTGAACATCACTTCCCATGTCCATCATAGAACTTAACTGCAGTGGATTAAAAACAACAAAGTTGCAAGGTAAAAAGGAGTAGCAAAATATATATTATGCTCCAACAATCCGCACGGATTTGCAGATTGACCAACCAATCCTTGCAGATTGACCAACCAATCCATGCAGATTGACCGGATTTGCAGATTTGGTACCCTTTGTTCAAGAAAGTTAGAGACCCCAAAGCTGAAAGAAAAAAAAGTAAGACAAATAGACCAGAACAAAAACTATGAGTAGATAGTGACTTGGGAAAGAAATTATTACAAATTAGAATATCATGTATTACTTTCCAACTTACAAAACAAATTCTCTCCTTGATATTTAACCCATCATCCATTCCTGTCACTCGAAGGTATATCAATCTGTAAATTAAACAACATGTGTGTGTGTGAGTGAGAGAGAGAGAGAGAGAGAGAGAGTGATCGGAACTGAATAAATGTCAATAACACCTGAAACAAAGATTTTTCTGTTGAAGAATAGCAGAAATACAGTATCATTAACAAGGAAACTTATAAAATGCTCAAATTGAAATTTTCAAATCCATTAATATTCAACTTCATTTTTGTTTTCTCTTGTTTTGTGCGAGGCTTCAACATGTGTTGGCGAATGGTTGATGCCTATATACCTATGCCATGCTTGCTCGTAGCTGAATACTGAACTCTTCACAAGCTTCACTGTGGGAGTCTCATCTGTTCCCTCTGCAAAACATACAAATAAACAAACTGGAAAGCTCAAATTCATCATTAAGCAGGGGTGACGAGAATCATACCACTTCTCTGTAAAGCAGACAAGAGGGATTCTTCACTTTTACTGCTCGAGTAAATGATCATAGGCTTAGCTTGATACTTTACTGAATCAGTGTTACAGCAATAGAGAAAAAGGAAGATATGTGAGCCTGAATTCAAAATTGTTGATCAATAAGCAAGCAAACAAACAAATGAGGGGAAGAATTATCAAAGGAGATAAATAATAAAGATATTGATGAGACGAAAAGGAAAATAAATCCAAATTACAAGATTAAAAAAGACCTCCGAAGAAAAACAAACAACTTGAAACTCGTACTCAAATCTATGAGAGGAAATTCAGTGCTTCCATCTTCCCAAACTTCCAGCACATGAAGTTGGCGAATACTTGAATCGTAATACGATATTCCAACTCTGAAAAGAAAGTTTTGCAGAGTCATCAAATTCACTGGTCTAAATATTTTATTTAAGCTCATCCATTCAACTTTGTCCCTTTTTGTTCATCAATATGGACACAAAAGAAAAGAAAAGGAAGTTCAGATTTCATAGCCAAAAAAAAAAAAAAAAAGTTACAAAAGCATACAACATATCTGAACTTCTGTACAATAAGGTTCTAATCATCAGACAGGGTGACCTGACGCCTTGGAAGTTTAAAAACTCTCAGTTTCCTTTTTCTAGAGAGTTTATGTAATCGGTTACTTCTAATATGGAGGTTTGGAACCAGCTGATATGAAATCACCTCTCTCATTGTACCAACAGAATCCATGCCTGCTAACTTAGTCCAAATTTCGGGAAGCTTCATAATTTGTTAACAGAATGGAACCAGCATTAATATTCATATACAATCTCATGAATGTATATACCGCCATGAAAATATCCACTCGCTATCTCATGCATCTACACACCACCATGTATCTAACATAACTGAACTTACATCAAAATATAAATATTATTGATCCTACATTACAACAGCAACACGTGATTTTGTTTCTCGTATTTTCTTATATATTTGTAGGATCAGTAACAGAGAAAGCATTTGAACAAGAACTCACCGATTACCGTGTTGAATGCATGCCATGTACACCTGCAGATACAACCAGGACAAATTATTCTCAAAAGCATAAATCAACTTAGAATTTGGTAACCGAGGCAGCAAAATCCAGTAACGATTCTTTAACGCAATTGAGAGCCTTAAAATACGAACAACTAAGTTAGACAAATTTCTTCTTGGACCAGCGATTTTATATGAATGGAAAAATTTAAGAAAACAGAGTTTAAATCTTCAACTATGCAGCATTTCAAAACCTAAGAAGAATCATTCGTCGACCACTGATTGTTCCTCAAATGATTCTAGTTTTAGTATTATGCGTCTCGAATTTCTCAGCATCCAAACTGAATATACATATATATATATATGTATGTATGTATATGAATATGTATATTACTATATCTCTCGTTTGCTTGAATTAAGTATTATTTTCCTTAATTTTTTGTCAAGTACGAAGACTCAGAATTTTCTTAGCATCCAAACTGAGTAAATAATTTTTAAATCTTGTTGGTTCTGTTAACTAGGAACAGATCAAACAAAAAATTCAACTCAAATTAACAAAATACAATAATTTCTCTCGTTTGTTTCAGTTAAATACTGGTTTCCCTAATTTTCCATCAGTTTGGGAACAAAATCAACCGGCATAAACAATTCGATGATAATCGCATTTTCCTCTATTTCCTCCGTTTTCTCGGAAACCAATCAGGAAGGTGAAATAGGCAAGCATGAGTAGAGAGCGAAGAAGAGTCGGAAATCGACCTGAGGTAGGGCTTCGGTTTCGTCTATTTCCTCCATTTTTGATGTCCTGAAACGAGCAGCACAGAGAGCCAAGGAGAAAGGAGGAGCGATCAGTAGTCGCCAATGCCAGGAGCGCGAAACGACCTCTCTTAAACAGGGAGCATATTTTCGACTTTCGAGAAGAGATTGTGGGTCCCAGCTTCTTTTTTTTTTTTTTTCTTCTTTTGAAATGGATAATAAGGCAATTTTTACGGTGCATCCCTAAGATAGTGTACCGGGGATTCAATCCAGTGCCTCCAGCTTCAAACGTATGATATGTAGGCAGAGATTTTCTGGTAGGTTGCATGTTTTAGGAGTCAATCCAACAGTTAAAAAAAAAAAAAAAAGAGGGATCATTATTGATAGGATTAATTTTATAAATGTCCCCTAAAAATGAACAATCCACGTGGCGGCATTAGTTCGCTCACTCAATGAAGTTGCCACATGCCAGCGTGCTATTAACTGACAAAAGAAGTTTAAAATGGAGCACGCCGCACTGGATCGATGGAAGGTGGCTGGTGGCTAGGCTACCTGTTGCATGTTCATTGGTTGGCATGAGGTTGGAGGGGCCCACCTGATTTTTATCCTTATTCTTTAGCTAAAAAGATTATTAATAAAAAATAATAACCAAAAATTTTGGGCCTATTCTTTTATGCTATATTTGATAGGAAGAAAAGAAAATATGATAGAAAAGAAATATGGAAGTGATAAAAAATAACAATGATAGAAAGAAAATTAATTTTTTTTTATGTTATTTGGTATGAGAAGATGGAAAGAAAATGAGCTTACCTTCACTTGTTTAGTATTAGAAGTTAAATTGAGAGGAAAGAAAAAATTTTACTCATAAATTACTTTTATACCCTTAAATTTTTTGTTTGGATGTTGATGGAGAAAATGATAGTTTATTAACTTTGCTCACTTTAATGAGTTGTCTCTATTTTTCATCACATTTTTTGCTCACTTGTGGAAAGAAAAAAAATGGTGGGGTCCACATATATTATTTTCTACTCTATTTTCTCTTCCTTTCTATTTTCTCTCCTACCAAACAACCTACATTTTCATTTTCTCTCCCAAAATTCCTCTACCTTCTTCCTTCCTTCTACTTTTCTTTCCTACCAAACATACTCTTAGAGTGTAACTTGAGTGTATTTTTAAGTTAAATTTGAGTTACAACTTGAATTAAAGTTGTAACTTAAATAAAATTAAATAAAGTTAGAACTTAAAATAATATAAATTTAAATAAAATTAAAACTCGAATTGTCTTTTTTTTGAATTTATTGGACAAAAAAAACAGGCCACAGTTTAACTCCTTCTCGATTGACAAAGAATGTGAAAACCACAACAAACTTCAACCGACAACTAAGCTACATCAAAATGCTACGTCAAAAGGGGCAAAAGTTGAAGAACGACATCACATAGACAGTAACAAATTGAAGAAAAAAAAAAGGAAAATATCAGATTAGAAACAACAATAATAAAAGTGGCAACTAAATGAAAATACAATAAGGAATGTGAAAATCAAAATCAAGAATCCAAGATAAATCTTTAAAAGACATTTAAAAAAAAAACGTAAAAGACTATACTAAATAGTAGACGACGTAGAAATTGAAAATGACATAGGAAAAGGGCAATGGATATACAAAAATTCTTAAAAGGCATAAGAACGACGTGAAATTGAAAAAACTACAGAAGTTAAGAAATGATAATCAATCTTGTTTTTTAAAGATAAAATGTATTCCAAATTAAAGAGATACAAGCACTAATGCTGACTCAAATGACTTTATAATATAAAAAAAAACTTAACCTCGACCATTAACCGGTACCACTAATAAGTTCTAATACGCTCAAAGGGATAAGGTAATACGCTCAAAGGGATAAGGCGCGCGCAAAACTCCAACAACAAAAAATTGAAAAAGTATACTAAGAATCGAGCACACAAACAACTCTTTAAACAACTCATCTACAATTTATTAAAACATTCGATCGATTGAGACTAAGAGACCTGTAAACCAAACTAAGAGACTAAGAGAAGAAAAAGAAAAATCATAAGAACAAAAACAACAATAATCACTAAGTGGCAACTAAATGAAAATACGATAAGAAATGTGAAAATCAAGAATCCAAGATAAATCTTAAAAAGACATTTAAATAAATGACATAGAAAAAGCACAATGAACATACAAAAATCCAATAAAAGGCATAAGAACGACATGAAATTGAAAAAAAACTATAGAAGTTAAGAAATTACAATCAATCTTTTTTTTTTTAAAGAAATGTATTCCAAATCAAACCGATACAAGTACTAATACTGACCCAAATGATCTTATAATACACGAAAATTTAACCTAACAACTGATCAGTACCGCCAATAAGTTCTAATAATACGCTCAAGGGGATAAGGCATACACCAAACTCCTACAACAGAAAACGGAAAAAGGTACGCTATGAATCGAGCACATAAACAGCTCGTTAAACAATTCTTCTACAATAAATAGAAACTTCCGATCTATTGAAACTAAAAAATCTATAAACCAATCGTCACTCACAACACCAACAAGAACAAACTCAAGTAGATGGGATAGAAAAATAAAATCAGAAGGTATGGAAATCACCTAATTTATTACAAACTCAGAACAAGAATAACCCAAACACAAATCCTAAGAGGTGGAAACCACATAACTCTTATTATTTGACAAAACCATCCACCACAATTTAAAAAAAAAAAAAAAAAAAGAAACCACACATGAAGAACAACTGGTCACAAGGCCAACCATGCAACAAAAGAGATAAAAGAATACAAATCTCAACGGAGCCAAAAACCATTCTAACGAAGCGTCACCAAGCTAGTGCGTGAAGCCATGCGCAGAAGCCGCCAACAACCACTCCTAACATGCTTTCCCTAGAGAAACCCGCCCTTGGAGACTAGAACCTCCAAAGAGGAACACTCACATCTAGTTAAATTAATTAAGATTAATTATTTTAATCTAATTATTAGTGTTATTTAATATGAGATTAGTAGAAAATTTTCAGTTCTGATTATTATATAAAGGACTTTTTTCCTTTAAAATAATTGTTTTTAAAATTTTACACTTCAGTCCCTTAATCAATTTGAGGTATCGATAATTAATTTTTCAGAATAAAAATAGTGGACCACTCTATATTTTAGTTAGATTCGACTTTAAAATTTAATTATTAAATTTGCACAAAAAATTCAAGCTCATTTTTTTCCTTTTTCTTTTCTCTTTCTTTCTTTTCTTCTTTCCTTCTCTCTTTCTTATATGTATCTTCTCTCTCTCCCTCTCTTTCTTGTTCTTCTCTCTCTCCCTATCGAACTCTCTCTCTCCTTCTTCTAAAAATTTTCTTCAATTTCAAAACTCCATAACTCACTTGTTCTTAATCAGAATTGAGTGATTCTTGTTTTTCTTCAATTTCAAAACTCCATAACTCACTTGTTCTTAATCAGAATTGAGTGATTCTTATTTCTATGAGTTCACAACAAAGAGGAGAACGAGATGACACCCATATTGAATATGGAAATCCGCCATGCCCGGTAGCTCATCGGAGCTCCGCAGCCGTCCACACCATGAGCCACCATTACTGGTGGTGGTGGTCGACACCACCCGCTTCAAAACGTAGAGGATGACGTCGAGATGCAAATCCCTAAAGAAATTTTGAGGAAGGAGCTTCTATTTTTGAGGTAGGGTTTTCCTCATTTTTCTCCTTCTTGGTTTAAATCTGGATTTCACTCTTGTTTATGTTTAGATTGGTGATTTATTAAAGGAAATTGATGAATAACCCTTGATATCATGGAAATTCCCTTAGAACTGACTAAATTTCTGAGTTTTAGAGGTTTGAGTTCTAAAATTTGATTTTCTTGATGGTTTATGGTTTTCAACCTGGTTTATGATGAAATTTGATGAATTACATGTGGGTTTTGGTTTCCTAACCATGATTTGGTATTTAGAAACTGTTTAGAGTGATTTTCACGAGTTTATCTTGAAATCCTTTAAAAAAATCCAGATTTTTAGCATTGTTCCTCACCAAAACGACGAGCTGTTCATGTCTGAGGAACGGCACCGGTCGCCCGCACCTGGCGACAGGACTACACACCACCAGTCGACCGGTGGTTTTGTCACGCCCCCCCCCCCCCCCCGCCCCCGCCC